AGTAATAGACAAATGCAGTATGTAAGGCAGCAAGTTTAATTATTTTCACATTTAATTCCAAAGTGTCAAAAATATTAATTTTTTAATAATTGTATACCTAAGGATATGAGAAATCAAATGTGCATAAATCAGTGTTTTTTCTTAAAAAAAAAAAATGAATATGACTTTTTGAAATGATGCCAGACAGTCAGTACCTATTAATTTGAATCTAGTGGAACTTTTACGGTCGGCTGTGGAAAAAGATCTCAATTTAGGTGCCTGCGACAAAAATGTCAAAAGCTTGGCATTGCTTGCAGCTTCCTGTTGCTATCACTTTATTATTACTGTGCAATCACAGTGTAACATCATCTACCCGCTTCTTTTTTTTGTTTTTTTAGAATGGCAATTATTAGAGGTGTTAGTATGTTAGAGGTGTTAATATGTAGGGAGGGTATTGAACCCAAGATATGAGATACAAACCACGACTTACCTCAAAGAACAACAAATGACCGTTGCGTCACGCACGTGGAATGCCATCTAACCGCTTTTATTTCATTGCATTCCCAGCTAACAAGATTCTTATCATTACGTATCTTGAAAATCATGCAATATATAAAATTTTTTTCTGGGTATGTCATCAAGGATTGCTTGAATATACTGTATTTGTTTCTTCTAATCTTTCTTTTCTTTGGCAACAATTGCATCTTCTAATCTTTTCTTTGGAAACAAATGCATTCATTCTCCGCCCTATTTAAGACACAATGATCACAAGCTCTCACGTTGCCCTTGATTTATTTTTTCTCTCTTTTCCAAGCAAAATGAATTGTGGCATGCATGTGTTGGTTAGGTCCCAGACGCGCAGAGGTCTTAAAGCTGAATGTGATATCCACATGATCATGAGCACTGTTTCTAGGACACCGTCTTTACCTCCAACGAATAAAATGCATTTCACTTTTTTTTTTTTTTAAATGATACATATATATTATAAAGTTTTACGTTTCATTACACACTAATAATTTTTATTATTTGTGTCGTTAAAATTGATAGTTTTTATTATTTATGCTATTAAACTAATAGTTTCCATTACATACTAGTAGTTTCTGTCAATATAAAACGAAATGTATAATTTTATAAGATATATGTATTATTGTCATTTTCTTTATAACAAACATAAATTTAAAAAAGAAAGATTTAAACCCAACTCTTAAAGTATCTAAAAGCGAGAGATTTAAACTTAGGGCCTATTTGGTTCAGTTTTCAAGTGTTTCAGCTTTTTAACAGTACTCGTGTGTTTCGTAAGTTTAAATCTCTCTCCTAAAAACTTACATTTTTAAATATTTTTTTAGCTTTAAAAAGATCATAAACAATAAAAGATGAAAAGTTTCAAATTCAAACTTTTCATAAAATTTTTTTACTTACTTTTTACTTATTTTTTCTTATCTTTAAAAATAACTTTAAAATTTTTTCTTTAATAAAAATTTAAATTTATCATTTATAAATAATACAAAAAAAAACCTCAACAAGCTGCACCAACCATGCTCTTAATTCTTAAGATTGAGATTATACCGTTAACAAAAGTTCATAGCACTTAGCCTAGGCGCAAAATGCGCCCCACATTCAAAAGTAAGACAATGCAAAGTATGTCCTTTCCTCTGTACACATTAGTGATTGGTGAGGTCTTGGACTTGGAGGACTTTGGCTATGGTCAATCGGCCGCTGTTCGGTCTACTAACTAGATTTTTAATAAAGTTACGTCAAGCAAATTTGTGATTGTGGGAGCTTTGATGAGGAAAATAATAACAGGGAAATAAAGCCAAATCTTTCTCTTTTCTTTTTTTTTTTTATATCAAATCTTTCTCGTACTAGATAAGAAAACATAAAGTTGATGCACACCACCCAAAGATAAGGATATCTAGGGGTCAGAACAAACATCACGAAAAACATATTACGGATTACTGGATAGTTTAATGTAGAAACAGAAACAAATATATATATGATCTACTACTGAGGATTGGGAGGGCGGCTGTTAGCAGCAGAGACCCTTGAACCCCATTCCAAAAGCTCTTTGCTTGTATCATCCTTGTGAACTATCACCTCAATGAAGCACAGAGAGTCCTTCTTTGGTCCTGTGGCCGTCACAATTGCTTGGATTAGCTCTTCCTCAGTACGGACCTTTAACAACAAAGAATTACATATGGTTAGTTTATGTACTGATCAGCATTCTTCTTTGATGGCATTTGATACGTTGAAGCAATGAAATCATCAACGGCATACATACCTTGGCTGTCCAGCACTTCCCTTCACCATTGTGAATTGCATCAACCAAGCCAGTATAGTTCCAGTTCTTGATCACATTGTATGGCCCATCATGAATCTCGACTTCAATGGTGTATCCACCGTTGTTTATCAGAAAGATGATGCTTTTCTGTCCACATCGCAGCATTGTGGACACATCTTGTGCAGTCACCTGCAAGGCATTCAACAAGAACAACATTAACCATTAAAGAACTAAAAGAGTAAAGATGTATAACTGGAGATCAGGAAAATGAATGAATCCAAGCCAAATACAAGAACATACCTGGAAACTACCATCACCAATACAAGCAATAATACGCTTCTCCGGTACAGCCTGTGCATATCCAAGAGTGGCACCAACTGACCATCCAATTGATCCATACTGCATTTGGAACTCATAACTGCATAACACAATTTCATGTTCCATGTTAGTTTCATTTTTTTGAGGAGGATTTGAACCCAGCACCTAAGGCTGGGGTGCACCTTTCTTAAGGCTCATAGCCAATTGGCCTTGTAGGCCAGGTGCAGCATGTTAATTTAATGAACCCCAGATCAGAGTTAATACAAGGATTCAAGATACCTCAGTTTAATACTTACCCACATCCCTTGGGCAATTTCAGTTTCTGGCAGTTGAACCAAGAGTCCCCTGTCTCAGCAATGATAGCAGTTTCACTAGAAAGCATCTTCTGTATATGCTCAAACATGACATTAACCCTCAAAGGCTCTTCAGGAGCAGATTTCAAAGGGTGGCCTTCAGGAACAAAAATCCTATGATAATTCTCATAAGCAGTGGTGTTTTTCTTGAGCCTCTTAGACAATGCCATGAGGAAATCCTTCATCAAAACACACCCAAATGCAGGGCCATTAGCAATCACCACCCGATCAGGCTGCACGATGATTGCTTTCTCTTTCTTGAGAAGCAGAGAGTAGCCAACAGAGCTATAATCGTTGAAAATTGGTCCAGCAAACAAGTAAGCATCAGCAGATTCAACGATTTCAGCACAGAATGAAGTGCTAACGGCACCCCAATAGGTTCCAATGAAGTGGGGATGGTGCTCGGGGACCAACCCTTTTCCCGATGGCATTACCGCAAAGGCATACCCACAAGCATCAGCAAGCTCAACAAAGGAACCACATGCCTGCGCAACTCGCAGCTTTGGACCACCAACAAGCACGGGTTTCACCGCCTTGTTCAAGAACTCTGCCGCTGCCTCCACTGCCGCCTCCAGTCCCAACTTATTACTCAATCTACAGCATCGATCAAGAACAGAAGTCAAGACTTATGACACCCAGATGAACAAGAAAAGCAAGAAACAGAGTATTAAAAGGGAATTACTTGGGAGAGAGTGAAAATGGAACCGGTTCACGGCTGAAAGTAGGGTGAGGAATCGCTGCCAAATTACAGCCAATGCTGATATAAACAGGCTTGCTTTCTTTCAGGGCAGTTGATATAGCAGTGTCGATCAATTCATGAGCATCCTCCAAGTTATTCACCACGGCCTACCAAACACCAAAATCCATCTCAACAAACAAACAAATACTATTATACCCTGTTCGGAAGGCAAGAAAGTGACGGGGAAAATTACCTGATAGCATGTGACGGTCTGGAAACACCTCAGCTCCTGGGTGAAATCAGGCAACCCAATAGTGTGGTGAAGGATCCTATTAGTCCCATAGTCGTTGCTGTTCGGTCCACCTACAATGCAAATTAGAGGCAGATTCTCACTGTAAGCGCCGGCGATCGCATTCACCACACTAAGCCCACCGACCGAGAAAGTGACAACACAAGCCCCAACCCCACGTGATCGCGCATAACCGTCGGCAGCGTATCCGGCATTCAGCTCGTTACAGCAGCCGATGAGGTTAAGCTCCGGCTCAGCAATCAAGTGGTCAAGCAGAGTCAGGTTAAAGTCCCCGGGAACAGAGAAGACATCTGTGACGCCGATTTGGACGAGGCGGCGGGCCAGGTGGCGGCCAAGAGTAGCCTCGGAGGAGTTGATGACGGTAGGAGAGACAGTGCCCTGGATGGCCGATACAACGCCGTTTGGCGGGCAGCCAAGGTCGTTGTTAGCAGGCCTGCAGACGTCAAGCGACCCAATCCTAGTGTCCATGAATAACAACCTTTTGAGAATGTAGAAAACGATTTCCGGCGAGAGTTGCAGAGAAAAGTACAGAGAAAACTTAATGGTTTTAGTTTAAAAAAGAAGACCTAAATATTTTGCAGGTGTGACCTGAGGAGGAAACGAGGAGCGGGTTTTATAGCGGATATTTGCGTTTTCATACGAATGGTGAAAATTACTGCGGGCGGAAACCAAGAAACGGTGGTTTCTACTTCTTTTTGAAATTTTAGTTAAACAAGCAAAATTTTTTTTATTTAGATTAATAAATTATTAGTTGAAATATTATTTTTGAAAACAAATTAAAAATATATTAATTATATTATACAAAATAATAATTTATTTTAATTTTATTAACAATTTAATTATTTTTTTTACATATAACCTTAAAAATAAAGATAATTTTATTTTTTATATAGATTATTAAAAAAATAAGATTAATATATTTTTAAGTTATAATATAAATTTATTTTTATTTTAATTATATAATGAGAGACAATTATCTCTCATATTTTATCATTTTTTACTTACATATTATTCGATTTAAAATTAAAATTTTTTATTTAAAAAAATTATTAACTAATTAAGTCATTCATTTTTTTTTCAAGAGAACCAGAATCCAATTCTTCTTTTTGTTGAAATAACAACGAGCGGCAGTTTCTGCGGATTCCCTTGACGAGAGTTTAGGAATAGCCTTCGACTGTGACGAGTGTAATCCACGCTCCTAACTCGTTAGTGCTTCTACCTCTATGCATACTTGTGCACCACGTAGCAACGAATCGCGGGGAATGAAATTGAAGATTTGGCGAATACTAGGTTGTTGAAATTGACTTGGATATTTTATGTAGAAATTATTGTTCCTTATTAGAGTCGGCTAAAGTAAGTGTAATGATAAAAGAGAAGGATATTTGTTTGCGTTTTTCTTATGGTTTTGGAAAGTTCTGGTAATATTAATGCTCCATTAATTTTTTTTATTTCCATTTTTACCCTTTTAAACACCCAAAAGCATGTTAAAGGTTAAAATCTTTTAGACTTTTCAATTTCGTCCTCTTCCTTGAGAATTCTATATGAGAAAAGATTCAATTATACATAAAATTAATATTATATCTATATATAATTTTAATTAATTAATCATTTATTTGTTTTTAATAATTGAGATTTATTATAATTTTTTAAATAAAAATAATAATTATTTTTAATAAATATAAATAAATCTCGATTATTAAAAATAAAATAATAAATAATTTAAATTTTATATAATATAAAAAGAATTTTCTATGTTGTGTGCTTAGAATACAAGTTAATGATATATTAAATGTACTTTTTATAATTAATTTACATAAAAATTAATAAAAATTAACTTAAATTTAATTAATTGTTTAATTAAAACTATTCATATAACAATAACACTAAAATAAAAGTTAATTATTGTTATTTTTCATATAAATTAATTATAAAAAAATATATTTATTACATATTTAATTTATAATTTTAAAATATAAGTTAAACGAATTCTATAAATTTTACATGTAAATAAATTATCATTTATTCATAAAAATACCTCGTGGGATTCAAAATACAGGGCTAGAGTCTTTTAGACTTCTCTCTACATCCCTTGCTCCAGAATAACCAACTTGTACTTTTGGATCATGTTCTTCTATGAAATCCTCCAATTCTTGCTCCACTCCTTCAGATTCCCGTCAAATAGCTCTGTATATGTACAAGTGTAAAACCTCATCTTTTCTCAATGGCTTTAAGTTGAATTTTATAGACAAATTTTTTTTGTGGGAGCAAAATTGAAGAAATAAAATTAGAAAAAAATTTTTTGGAGGTATTAAAACGAAAATAAATGCGGAATTGGATTGGAATGAAAATTGAAATTGCAGATGAGTTTTTTTCACCAACAAAACAACTGATGGAAGACAAATAGACGAAAGTGACAGAGAAACAACGATAGAGTGGGATTAATTAAGTACTAAAAGGGTAAGATAGTATTTTTGTGTTATTTAATTTAATACTAAAATTAAGAGTAATTAATTATTTTTTTCATTCTAGTACAAAAAGACTAAAGGTGTGGTGTAACAT